TATGTGTGTGTATGCTTAACCCCATTAAAGTAGGAAAAAATGGATGTTTTTCAGTGTCCTGGAATGTGGAAGACATTTCTAGGCTTGACATAAATCTAGAAGTCACAAAGGGAAGTATGATAAACCTAACCATGTAAAAATGCTCAACTTCTCCATGGAAAAAAAGAAAAAGAAAAAAAAAAGACCAAAACCAGCTCAATGAAAAGAAATAAACTACACAAAAGTATCTATAACATATAAGAGAAAGGGCCAATTCTCTTAATATTGGAATGCTTTTAAATCAGAAAAAGACAAATACCCTAATAAAAAAATTGGCAAAGGTAACAAACAGTTCACAGAAATTAAATACAACTGAAATTAAACTACAACTGAAAAAATACTCAGCCTCATTTATAATCGAAGGAATGCAAAATAAAACAATAATTAATGCTTTTCACCTATTGTACTGACAGTGACTAAAAAGTCTGCTAATACCGACCGAGTTGGTCAGGGTAGAGAGAAATGGCCGTTCTTGAACATTTCTGCTGGGAGGGTGAACTGGTTCCTCCTTTCTGACAGCAACATGGTAACAGCTATTACCATATTTTGCCATGTATAATGTGCACCCATGTTTTTGTACACATAATACATGGGATTATTATACCCACGGTATGTAATCATTATACACATGTATAATGCACATCCTTATTTTTCCCTAAAAAATTTGGGCAAAAAAAAACTGTGTATTATACATGGCAAAATACGGTAATATGTAAAATATGGGTACTCTTTGTCTCAGTAGTTACAGCTCCCAGGAATTTACCCCACAAGTATATTCCCACAATGTGGAAAAGATACAAAACAATGCTGCTGGCTGCAGCATTTTGTTCTCACACTAAATTACCAGTAACAAACTGAAAACTGGCCCATCAATAGGTGAGATAAATTAAGCCATAGAAAAAATTAAGTATCATGCAGTCACCCCAAAAGAACGAGGTTGTGCACGCCAATGCTGGCAAGTGGCCCAACGTGCACCGTGAAGTGTGGGCAGGAGGAACCAGTCCAGTCTAGTATACGCCACATACAGAGAAAACTTCTGCAGGGATACGGAAGAAACTGTTAACTAGTGACTCGGGGGAAATGAGGGCTTTTACATTTCCCTCTGCTCTGTGCTACTTCAATGTTTTTAAAGATCATCTCTATCTTCTTAATTAAAAAAAGTCAAACACTTAGCTGTTGAAAACTACTTTCATTTGTGTTCTCATAAGGAAGAAAAAAAACAGGAAGGAGTAAGAAGAAAAAGAGATTCAGGGCCTGCAGTCTAAGAGGTAAATTCAGCACAAATGGGCCTCCCTGCCCTCAACCAGCCCAGCGCCCCTCAGAAACGCCAGCCCCAGAGGCAGAAGTCAGAAAGAACACAGCCACTGCAGACCCTCAGTCCTCTCGGGACATGGAGCCCAGTCGCCTGTGGGAATTTGAATTTGGGGCAGTTGTCCAGCACCAACCAATTATATCTCGTGCTTGGGCAACAGCACACAGAATCCAAAAAAGCAAATCACTTGGCTTTAGGTCGCATGCATTTTATAATTCCATTTGAACACAGTCATAAAACATTCCATTTTATTCAACAAGGGGGTTTCTATGAGGCACTAAGCAAGTACTAAGAAGAGAGCAAGAGTGAAATAAAACATGGTTCCTGTCACCAAGTCATTGAAAATCTAGTGAGAAAACAGAAAGACATACAACCAACCGGAAGGCAGGACCAAAGGGCAACCTGCTCCCATAAAGGCGCACCAAGAAATGAACCATGTCTGGAGGACCAGAGATTTCACCGAAGAGGTGGCATTTCTCAGAGCTGAAGAATCTGTACGATTACCTAACTTTCCCCTTTTCCACTTCCTTGAATCCTTTTCTCTACATTATGTACAACAGATCAACATTATGTACAACAGGTCATTATGTACAACAGGTCAACCTGACAGGGCCTGCCCTTTCTCCTGTTCCTGCATTCATATAACTAAAGACAGTACCACCTCTTTTGTATAAGAGACCAATTGGTGCCAGGTATATTTTGCATTAATAAATGTACTACCACAAATATGTCTTTGATTAAAGTTTTATGTATTCAAGAGTTGTTCTATCATACCTATAAACCACTGAAACAGCTCAAAAATATCATAAATTAGCTTACAAACTACATCTTTCCAACTGTTCTACACAGATTCCACTTACGAGTTCAGATTTCTGTTTCAGAAAATAAGGTCACTAAGAACAATCATGAAAAAAGCCAGTTTAGGATTTTAAGTCTATCACGGAAAGCACTCAATAATCTAAGCACAAACATCTCTTATTCTGTCTGTGTGCATTTTTGGTTTTGTTTTTTGTTGTTTTTTTTTTTCACCTAACACTGGTCCAGATCCAGATGGGTACAGAGCTGCTGCTGTGTTGGAGACAGAAAGATGTCTAAGAACTTAAACCTAGAAAATTAGGTGGGTTTTTTCCTGCCAGAGCTAGGTATACTTTTCAATATTAATTATAATACCATAAATACTTCTTTGATCCAAGTTTACTTTTTCAAGAGTTGTTCCATCATACTCATAAGCCATAAAACTCATAAACCACATAAAACACACTGGACAGACCTCCCAGGCTTGCAACGTGCATTGTCACAAAGAGCACAGGTCTGATGCTCACAAAGAACTGTGTCTAATCGGGGCTCCACACTCCCCAGCCCATCGGCTTCGGCTATCACTGCATGTCTCCACGCTTCCATTTCCTCCTGAGTACAGTTTCCCTACCTCACAGAGTTGTAGTGAAGATGAACAACAATCTCAGTAAATCCCCCAGTCCACTGACTGGCACAGAGAGGCCATCAGTAAATGATAGTTTGGGTATCAGGGTTACTAGTACGAACCTAACTCTTGAAGCCTGTGTGGGGCACAGGTATGTTGAGCCACTTTGGGGGACCCAGAAAGCAAAAAGTAGAAGATGCAAAGCTTCTTTTCTACCACACTTAAGAACAATCAGAACACATGATTTCAAAAATTATGACAACTCTGAAAACAAGTCTTAGTAGTGGTTGAAAAATACACATATATATATGTTCATGCTCTGGAGTCTACTCCAGAAATTCTGCTTTAGCATTTACTAGCTGTAAGACTTTGAGCAGGCTGCTTAGAGATGTCCTTTCCTCAACTAAAACAGAGCCAACAACAGTCTGCCAAAGTATTAATACTTCATGGGGATCTCGTGGAGGTTAAATGAAATGAGATAACCCATGGAATGCTCTTAGCACAGCATCCGGCAACAGTAAGTGCTCCAAATGTTAACTACCATACTGTCCACGAAATCCCTGGCGCCCCCACAGAGTGACTGTAAGGGGTCTAAAGTGCTTGCCATACTAACATGTACTTCAGATATATGTGCTATTTTTCAATAGTCTGGAGAGTCCAGTGTGGCTAATAAAATAGTAATTATTTTAAGAGTTCTATTCAAGTAGCCTTTAAAAACATGTTGTAATTACTGAAAAATATTCAAACAATAGAGAAATATATAAAGTAGAAAGTAGGCTCATTCAGCCAACCCTCCCCCCACTGCAGCCCCCAAGTCACCTTTCTGGGGGAAACCACTGGAAGCACTGTAGTGGGCAACTCCAAATCCTTGTCTCCCGGAATATTCATGAGGTTGGGAGGAGGAGGGATTAGTTTTTTCACAAAATGGGATCATATCGCATGTATTATTTGTTTATTCAATAATATCATAAATCTTTCCATGTCAATGTAAAAAATCTTAACTCATTCTTTATAGCCACTGCTTGATGATTCAAATTATGGATAAATAATTTATTAATCTATTATTTTAGGCATTTAGCTTACCTTTTATTTTTTGCTCTTAAAAATAATTCCAGCCCTGGCCATGTGGCTCCATTAACTGCAGCAACACCAAAAGGCTGCGGGCTCCATCCTTGGTCGGGGTGCGTATGGGAGGCAACCAATCGATGTTTCTCTGTCACATCGATGTTCCTCTCCCCACCCCCTCAAATCAACAGATGTATCCTCGGGTGAGGATTTCAATATATACATAGGTACATACATACATACATTCCACAATGAACACTTTGTTTAAAGAGCATTCAACATATGTCCAGGTCTTTCTGTTGGATGGCTTCCTAAAAGTGGATCTGCTGAGTCAAAGGTTTTACACATTTTATATTTTGGTAACTACTGCCAAACTGTCCTCCAAAAAGAACATAAATAAAGCAGAGGACAATGTACTCCTTGTCATTTGCTTAAAACATAAGAACAAAAAGTACACTATTGTATGGAGAAACTATATTTTTCCATATGGAAAGTGGCCCTCATCTTAAAAAAAAAATTGGAACTACAGTTACAATCCATCATCCTTCTCAACGCCAGAGCTGCTGACTACTCATCCAACATTACTCAGACTCTGACCTTTCCTACAATGACCTGGCTCACGTCAAAACCAGTTTTCTAGTCCCCTGCCCCTGCCCGTGTCCCTAGGCCAGCTGGTTTGGTGTGGAGGGTGGTGGGAGAAGAGACTCAGGAGACGGAGTGTTGCTAACACCATCTAGCAGCCTTGCCAAACCCACTGAAACAGAGCTGCTCCATTCAATGTTCCCTTAAAAGCTGCACTTTGCTGTTACAAAGCAGCAATGGATTAAAACCTCCTAATCAATAATCACTGGCCTACAGGTAGTTTACAGGTTTCATTTTACCCCACAATATTATTACAGTGAAGAGCAAGAGCAGATAAAGGTCATGTTGGTAATTAAAGCTATATTATAGAAATATGCACACCCAAGATATGATTAAATAAGAAAATATTACTCAGTTGAGTATCATCATTAAACTTGCATTAATTTATAAATATTTAAATGTACCATATGATGATCATAAATAATCTGTTTTTGACAGTTTCTAAAGTAATGCAGCCCATAAACCCTTTGAAAAATTACTGCAGAAGGGAAACAATCGAGAAAGTATACAAGCCAGACTCACATTCAAATGCTGTGGTTGTTGCTTCAGGCAGAACCTGGCCTATCACATCCTAAACAAAGAAAGAATAAAGAAACACAATTAGCCATCTTCTTTATTGCCAACATGTGGCAAATCCTAGAGGAAATATGAGAACCTGGAAAAGATTTTTGACATGATGTGGGCATAAACTATCAAAACATTAGCTCACAATCACACTTAGCCTATCGATGTAAATCCAGGGCTTAAATCTCTATTTAGGGAGCAGAGGGAGGAGCTGGGGGTAAGGGGTGGGGGTGGGGAGGGATCTTTACAAGATCTTTTCTAATTTGGTTTCTTCTATAGGAGGCTGTCGACTATACTGCAGTAGAAGGAGTACGGGGGTTTGGGAGTCAGTCTGGCCTGGGTTTGAATCTCAGCTCTGCACTCACTTAGCTGTGTGATTGGGAACAAATTACTTAACCTCTCTGAGCTTTAATTTGATTATCCCCCAATTCGGGTCCAGTAATACTTACAGAAGTAATGTAAAAATTAAATTAAAAATATAATTAACATAAGATAGCCTAACACATTGTAGACAGTCAACAAATGTAATCCCTGATATGTAACTAGCAACATCCATACTTGCATTCACAGTGGGAAAAGCTCAAAACACAAGTTTCCATGATGACATAAACCTATAAAGCTACGTTTAATACAAACAATTTTTATCAACCTTTACTCTTAAGCAACTGAAAAATATATATTTAATGACACTAAAATTAAGGTAGTGTAGCCTACAATAACTTTTTAAAACTATATAATCTAATATCGATGTTTCAATGAACCTATGAAGTTGAAAATACTTGAAAACTAGTCCACAGAGACAGCGTAAAAGAGGCACCAACACCTCTGAGAACTAGTCAGGTCTGGGAAAAGTGACCCTCCATTACGACCACCCAACCCAGACGGCCTGCAAACCACATGGCTCTCCAGTAGCTCTGCCACAACGTCCCTCCTGGGCTGTGCCAGGACGGGCACCAGGCAGCTGGCTGACAAGCTGAGCAGGAACTATTTCTCAGCAGGGAGCCCACAAGCCCTCCAAGGGGCACTTAGCAGAGTGGCGGCTGTGACTTCCTTCTAAAAGCAGTTCTTTAGAAGGTTGTACTGCAGTGTCAATCTGCATAATAGTCTTGCCTCTATGGTGCTTTTTCCCTCCCCAAAATAATCTGTACATAAAATCAATCCAAGGGAACGACCTTCAGCAGCCCTCACTCTTAGGGCCAAAGGAGATGATTTTTCCCTCTGACTTCTCTTAGCAAGTGAAACATCAACTTTTAGAGGAATTATTTGTTTAAAAATTTTATGTTAAAAAAAATTAATTCTTTCTAGCCCTGGCTGGGTATTCGAATGGTTAGCATGTCATCCAGGTTGTGGGTTAGAGTGTCCTCCAAGATTGTGGGTTCAATCCCTGGTCAGGGCACATACAAAAATCTACCAATGAGTGCACAAAGAAGTGGAACAACAAATCAATGTTTCTCTCTCTCTCTAAAAAACAATCAATACATGAAAAAAATTTTTAAGTCTTTCTACGCACTTGTAGGTGGGAAGTATTTATTGACAGGTAAATGGTAACTGTGGAGCGAGTATGCAATAAACCATACAGACCATCAGGGTAAAGCCTGAGAGTGTGACTGGAGCCAGACCATTATAGTCGGACGATGGCTCTGCCACTCACTTGCTGAGTGACAAAGCCTCAGTTTCCTTCTGTGTAAAATAAGATCACAACGGAACCAACCTAGTAGGACTAAATGAGTCAGTATCTGTAAAGTGCTTAGAAGACTGTCCAGTCACTGATGACTGGAACAATGCAAAGCTGACCTCAAAAGGAACCCTTACATTTCAGCACCCGACAACCAGTGGAGGGTGGCCACTCATTCACTTGCTTCAGCCTTCCACAGTATGTGTTGAGGACCTTTTGTAGCCAGTATGGGTGAAAAACAAAAGAACAGAGGACTCTACTCCCAACCCTCTAAGTCTAGGTTACCACTGGTCACCTCTAGGAGCTTGGGGGTGGGGCTCCAGGAGTTGTCACTCAGACGACCAGTCCTGAGACATGAACTCCACATAGTAGCAAACTCATTCAGGACGTGTCTTGTGTATAAACAGCAGGCGCCACTGAACAGCAAATCTCTACTAACCAGGTGAAAACCCTGCTGGGCAGCAATGGCATCCTTCGCCCATCAACACAAACAAGGAGCCACATGTGCTTTACATTTAATGTGGGGAAAAGGAGAAAGAAAAAGCGAACCTGCTTGCGAGAATCATCTTGTTTTGTTAGAGAAACTGAAGGGGGGGAGCGTAATGACCAAACCTAAAAAGTCTGAAAATTAGTATCTACTGGCCATCTCTAAGCAGGGCACTTTAACAATTCTATTTATATTTTCCAGTTTATTTTAAGTGATTTAATTCGAAGCAACCCAGTCTCCTTTTCAACATAATATTTACCTACCCTAAGAGGTTTCAAAGCAAACTTATTTAAATAGCTTTTTTTTCTTTTTCCTTTTTTTAATTAATTTTATTTAGTTATTTTTCAAGTACAGTTTTTTGTCTATTTTTCCCATCCCAGCCTCCCCCACCCCTTGCTCCCCACCTCCCTCCCATTTCCACTTCCCTTAGTTCTCGTCCCTGTGTCCTTCCTATTTATTCCTCCAAATCCCTCCCCATTTTCCCCCTTAACTTCCTTTCCTTCTCCCCTCTGGTCACTATCCCCTTGTTCTCTATTTCAGTGTCTTTGTTTTTTTTTTTTTTTTTCTGCTTGCTTGTTTGTTTTGTTGTTTAGCTTCCTGTTAAAGGTGAGATCATATGGTATTTGTCTTTCAGCACCTGGCCTATTTCACTCAGCATAATGCAAACTTGTTTAAATATCTTGACAGTGATCATTTCTTCATCCTTTCCTTCTCCTTCCTTCCAATAAATCAGTCAAAAATCTGACAGGCCAAAAGTATAAGTAAACATCTACAATGCACCAGGAGCACAAAGTGTTCTGGCGAAAGAAAAACAAGACTTAGGAAGATTACAAAACTACAATCTGGTCACAGAGATAAAGACAAACCTAGAACATTAACAATTCAGAGTACTTGCAGTATAATAACAGTCAAACAAATATATATAAGTAGCAAGCAGTACTTGCCAATTCAGGAGGAAGGCAAACCAGACTCAGTGTAAACGGGAATTTCACACAGACGTGGGCAATCTGAGCTGGGACTAGGGAGGCAGGATTCGAGCAGCAAGCGGGAAGGGGTAACATGCTCTCCTACCACTCCCTGCTTCAGGAGGTTCAGAACTCCCGCAGGGCTCTCCCAGAACGGTGGACTCTGTCTCCAGGGAGGAAGAGAAGCACACAAAACTGGAAAACAGATAACCCAAACATTTCTGCCCTTGAGCACCAGCTAGGTCTACTTCACATTGCAGCCAGTCACCAATTAACTCAAAGGGCACAGGTCCAAAGTGGCCAGATGAGTTGCCCTGACTCTCCCAGTTATTAATGCAGCTGTGACGGAGCCCCCAACTACTGACTCCTGTTCCGAATAATCTGTTACGGCTGACTCAAGGACATTTTTTTTCTGGCTTCTGTGTCTGGTTCTGACAAAATCTAGCTGTGTGACGGCTGCCTTTTCCCGCTCCAGGGTGCTTCCTCATTTGAAAACTGGGGTGAAGTGGGTTTTGTTTAGAGGAAGGGGATGCTTTCAGGATTCATTTGGCTTTAATTTGTAAAGTTCCAAGCCAGAGCTGTTGATGGTGGTATTTTGCCAATTTCTTCAGGCAGAGATGAGATGAACCTAAAGAACAGATCACAGGAGCCCTCCAGCATCTGGGCTTTGAGCTCAAAGAACCTGAAGGAGCAAAAGGAGACGGGGCAGCACCCACTGCCACAAGCCCTTCAGCAGGCCTTCCCGACAGAACCTGCCACGCTGAGCAAGCGTGTGTGGGACACATGGCTCTCTGTGCTCTCGGTGGTGGGACCATTTGTGCAAAGTTCACTTGTAGGCCAGTCAGCCTTGGGTCAAAGTACAGTGGAGAGATGCTTGGGAGGTAGAAGACCCAGACCCTACCCCTTAAGTCCTAACCCAACCACTACTGAGCACTCACTCTGTTCCAGGTTGTTCTAGGTGCCGTCACGGGTATCAAATCCAGCAAGCCTCAGAATTGTGAGGTAGGCGCTATCTTTACACTCCCAGTCCCCTTTCTTTTAAATAACAGATGAAGAAACTGCGACACAGAAAACACTTGCCCAAATAAGTCTGATAGGGCTACTAGCAATTTAGACTCGAAAAGTCTGGCTCCAGAATTTGTTTTTAAACATGGTACCATTCTACTTAGTAACTTCTGGTACTTCAAATAAGTGAAAAAAAATCTCATGTTTCTCTCATCATAGAAACAATCTCACGTGATCCTCACAAGTCTTTGAGACAGGTATCATTATCCGTATTTTACAAGTAAGGAAACTGAGTCTCAGAAAGGTGGAGCTGCTTGCCTTCCAAGGGTGAACAACCCGCAGCCCAGGATGGCTATGAATGTGGTCCAACACAAAACTGTAAATGTACTGAAAACCTTTTGTTTGCTCATCAGTTTTCGTTAGTGTTTGTGTATTTAATGTATGGCCCAAGACAACTCTTCTTCCAGTGTGGGCCAGAGACACCAAAAAGTTGGAAATCCCTTAAACCACAGGTGGCAAACGCAAGGCCCGTGGACTGAATCCGACCCTCCACCTTGTTTTATCCGGCCCGGCACCTTGTTTCTACCTGGCAGCAGTGCTGAGCTCCTTGCCCCTTGTTAAGGAGTCGTTACATTTATCCAGTCCTAAAGTTACATTCAGGCCTTTGAAAGCAACCATGAGGCTGATGTGGCGCCAGGTGAAAATGAGTTTGACACCTCTGCCTTCAACCCATTTTAAAAAAATTCAAAACCTAGTGTGCCACCCACAAAACCATAATTGCATGCATCCTCTTTGAAGCTCCCTCATTAACAAATATTTCAGTGTCCTATGAAATACCAGAAACAGAGGAGAACCAGAGATGGCCATCTCCTCCGCAATCTACCATTGGTGGAGGAGACAGACAAAATTACGAGATAACCTATGTGCTTTGCCAGAACACAGTTGTGGGAACACAGAGGAAGGGCAAGTACCCAAGACTAACATGAAGGAAGTGAAGCTAGGCTATGGACAGGTAGGATTTGGCCAGGTGAAGAGGGGCCAGTGGGCATCTGGGAGAGCTCAAGGTTAACTCTACATGCCTGGAGCTCAAAAATGCTCCAGCTGTGATGAGATACGAAACTGGTGCCGGGCAAGCATAAGCCAATCAAGATGGGCCCAGAGGACCATATTAAGAAGCCTGGACCTTATCATGAGGGAAAACCTATGTGCCTGTGAGTGTGTGGAGAACTCTGTGTGCAAAGAGAATGAAATCTGGTGTCCAAGAGTGGAGGCTGCTGGTTTACCCTAGCCCCTGCATGCCTGGCCCAGACACCTACAAACCGGGTGATCCATAACATCCAGAACTCAAAACAAAGGTACAGGAATCAAAAGTTGATTGGGTAACCTTGGACAGCCAAAAATCACATCACAGACCTTCCTGCAGCGTCAAGAAACTCTACCCAGCCCTGTCTTATCTAGCAGGTAAAGTCCACTACAGATCTGGTTCTTACAATATGCTTCTCGGTATCTCAGCTCTGCCTCTGATACCTCAGTTATTCAATAAAATAGGAACAATAGACTGCCTCAAATGAATGTTAAAAGATGAGAAGGGCACTGCAGTATGTGGAAACAAATATTAAGTAAAAGGGAGGAAATCTGAGCTCTGGTAACTAACTCCCCGACTCACAAGTAATAGAGCTTTGGGAAAGTCATTTTCTCTCACTGCTCCTCAGTAACTATCTGCAAAAAAAAAAAAGATAAGAGGGAACAAGCCACCTCCAAGCAGGTTACACCATGCTCTCACATTCCATGATTTTATTTCAATCACATCCTGAGTATTTATTATGAAAGCAAGGATGCATCACTGATTCAAAAATGCACATTTCCCCCTTTTTAATATCTCTGAAATCAGACTGTTTTTGTACAATGTGTGGCAGGTCACGGTCTAATGAGCAGAATTTATTCTTAGTAGTATATAAGAATATCTTTACACCAACACCACCTTACGTTTGATGAAACATGATAGGGTATGGCTGCCTTGTTTCCCATTCCTGCTGGTCACCAAGTTCAGGGAACTCGATGGAAAGATATGGCTGGAATCTGGCCAGGGACATTCCGAGAACACACTTGGAGAAAAACTCTCTTCTAGACTCTGCTTTTTGTATCCCAGTTGGTTATTTCTGTGCCTACGTCCCAGTCCAGGCTGTGAGCTACTTGAGGGCAGGGGCTCGATCTGATCATATCTACTTCCCCAGGACCCTGCACATTTGCCAGATTTCAGCCCATACAACCAATCAATGCATGTGGCTGAAGCAATAAGACTGACCCCCTAGGAAGCCAGGAGTGGCCAGGCCACTGCCCCTAGCTCAGGCCACCAGAGTAAGATGCTGACTACTCCACAAATCCCTGCGCCCCGCTCACTGGGATTTGGACTCTGAAATTAACACTCACCAGCACATCCCTGAAGAGTAACTGCGGCCCGGAGTTCACTGTCCAGTCCACCGCGCCCCTATTTGGAATCTTGATGCGAATCACCAGCACCTGGTTCTCCATGGCATGGAAGGGGCCAAAGGCCAGCCACAGCATTACAGGTTAAAGGGGCTCACATCGCGGGGTAGGGGGTATCCATGGCCCCTGGTTAGGCGGAGACTCCAAGGGGCGATAAGCGGGAGGGTAAAAGGACAGAGGGTGAGGGGTATCAGAGAGGTGAAGTGATCAAAAAGGGGCCCGCAGGCGCCGACCCAAGCCCAGGCCCAGGCTGTATGGGGTTGTGGGATGTCTCCCTTGTGAGCGGGGACAGGGCTAGAGGCAGGGACCAGTAGTAACTATCGGAGGTCAGAGGTTCTAGAGTCGGGAAAAGAAGGCAAAACGGGACGGTGTAACTCTCCACCTAACTCTCCACCGTCAGTGTGGGTGAGGAATCGGCAGAGAAAAACCCCTGTTTTAGGGAAATACAGAGGCAAGTGTCTACTCCTCCTCAGAGGGCGACAGGGGGGTCCCAATCTGAGGGGGACTCAGTCCAAGGCGGTTAGGAAGAAGCCGCGGGGCCGCCAGACTACGAGAATGCCGAGCGTGGGAGGCCCTCGGCGGCGGGAGGGTCGGGAGAGTCCACTGCCCCAAGCTGAGCCACAGGGCACAGCGCACGCGGGTTCCGCCCCGGCCGCCCCCCGAGGCTGTGCGTCCCACCCACAGCAGCGGAGGGAGGAGAAGGAAAAAGGCGGCAGCGAGAGCACAGTTACTCCGGAACCAAAATGCTCAGTGCCGGAACTAGCGGAGCCTCAAGCGGAACCCGCCTCCCGTGGCGCCATGTTGGAAGAGGGCAGCTTTCTGCCGGCCCCGCCCCCGCATGCGAGGGGGGCGGGGCCTGAGGAGAGAGTACTGGGCACGTGGGCGAGAACGAGCGTGCAAACTGGAACTGCTCCCTTGCGAGACCCCGAAGTCGTCAAGTGGGCCTCCGCGCCATGGAGTGACTGCGTTTTGTTTCCAGACCCTCGTAGGAGACGACGAGATGAAAACATCTAACAAACGAAGGAGGAAACTGAACCAGTGCTGTAGTCCTTGGTAAACCAATGGCTGCTGAAAACTGCGCACAGTTTGTCTTTACAGACGTGTCAAAATGCCAGAGCTGCTGCTCTTGTTTCTTCTGACTTTGTGAAGTCTTGTACCAAAATGTTCTTTGGGGTTTGTGCATCAACTCAGCAAGAGCAAGGCAAAAAAAAAAAAAAAATTAGTTGTCATACCTTTTCCTACTTCCTAGTCACATATCCAGAGGCTTGTCAACTTTCTCCCACATTAGCAAAGCTTATGTGGCTCTTTCAGTGAGGTTTTTTACTCCACGACTGCTCAAACTATCGGACAGAAATGCAGAGTTTTAACTGCCAGGAGACAGCTGCGGTAGTGACATCATCCTCTCTTATTGAACTAGTCCATAAATTGTCAAGTAGATAGCAATGTTTATGCAATCACAGGCAGTAGAAATAACCCTTGGTTATTTGTTAAGTGTCCTGTTAACCTCGAATTTTAAAGTATGTAATTTTGTTGATTTATGGCACCTGTACAGACATTTGTTTAAAAATTGCAAGTGTAGGTTTGTCCCTTACCTCTTTGTAATGAAAGTGCATATACCACTTTACTTTGGGGGCTGAATTTTGTATAAACTGGTGGGCGAAGTGTCATTTTTTTCTAACAGATAGTTCATGCGAGAGAAAAAATATTTTACATGTTGGTTAGCTTTGGTATAATACCAAAATTTTTTCTGCATATATTTTCTCTGCCTGAGTTTCTCTTATATTTAATTTGGAACTCCATTGTAGGAGACACATGATCTCTTTTCAGTCAATGTAAATTAGTAGCCTAGGTAGAAATTCATTTACTCAGATCCTCCAAATATTCTAGAAATTGCCCCTTTCCACCGCACTTCAGTGCTGTGAAAAATAAAACATTTGCTCTAGGTCCCTGTGTACTTTTATTGAAAGTTCATTTTCAGCCCTGGCTGGTGTAGCTCAGTGGATTGAGCGCGGGCCTGCAAACCAGACAATCGCGGTTCGATTCCCAGTCAGGGCACATGCCGGGGTTGCAGGCAGGTTCCCTGCAGGCCACTTCCCAGCAGGGGATGCATGAAAGGCAACCATACATTGATGTTTCTCTCCCTCTCTCCTTCCCTTCCCCTCTAAAGATAAATAAATGAAATCTTTAAAAAAAAAAAAAAGTTCATTTTCTATCATTAGAGAAAATATGCCATGAAACTAGAGATTTTTTGTGAACCTATGATTTGTTAAAACAGCTTTTTTATTCATAGTACTGTGGGGAAAACCAACTCAATTTGTACTTTCAGTTCTTTTGGATATATATCCAGAAGAGGAATTGCAAATCATGTGGTAATATTAATTTTGATTTTCTTTTGGGGGAACCTCCATAATGTGCACTGTTTTATATTACCACAAGCAGTGCTCAGGGTTCCAATTTCTTCACATCTTCACCAACATTTATTTTCTGTATTTTTTATGGTAGCCAATCTAATGGGTATGAGGTTTTGATTTGCATTTTCCTAATGATAAGTGATGTTGAGCATCTTTTCACACGCTTGTTGGAAATTTGTTTATCTTTGGAGAATTGTCTATTCAAGTCCTTTGCCCATTTTTAAACCTAGTCATTTATCTTTTTGTGGTTGTAAAGTGACTTTTTTAATGAGAAAATTACATTTTACTACTATAAATTTGGAGAGATTCTCATCTCTTTTTACCTTCCACTCAATCATGAATCATTCACCTAGAATCTGACCCCTTCCCACCACTTCACTGCTATAGTCAAACTACCATATTTCTCTCCTACTCTTCTGTTTACACCCTTGCCCCTGCTCTCAACAGTCTTTTGTCAACCCCTTAGCCAAGATGAGATCAAGTCACCCCTTTGATGAAAATTCTTCAGATGGCTCCCTCACTTGATCAGAGTAAACACTAAAGTCCTTTCATTGATCTACATAACTCTACTTGCTCTAGGTCTCAAACCTGACCTCCTACCACTCTACTCTTCCTCATTCTCACCAGCCTCCTTTTCACTGTTCTTTGAACACAGACATCCCACCTCAGGGCCTTTGCATGTCCCATTTCCTCTGCCTGGATTGCTGTTATCCCCAGTATCCACATGGCTGGCTCTCTCCCACTCTTGACTCACAGGTCTTGACTCACATGTCACCTTCTTGCTGAGGCTTTCCCTTAGCATGCTGTTGAAAGCTTTAAACCAGCCCCAAAAGCACCCCATCCAGTGATACAAGCACGCTGGTGTACCCAACTTTTAATACCCTTCCCTAGTTTATTTTTCTCCTGGCACTTATTTAACACATCACATGTTTTGCTCATGTGTTTATCTCCACACTAAACTATAACCTCATGAGGAGATGGAACTGTGTGTGTTGTCTTCACTGTCGTATTTCTAGCACCTAAAATGGTACCTTGCACACAGTGGGCACTTTAATAATTCTTGTTGAATGCAGGAGTGGATTTTGAAGGCAAAGTGGATTGAGCAAGAGAAATGTAACTACCATTTGCCTCTCCTGCCTGTCTTGAGCCTCATTGCTCCTTTGCCTTTCCACCACCACCACCACCAAGACTGAGATGACCGTTATAGACTCCCATTGAACCACAGATTCATGAAATCTCAACATGATGATCCTGTGTTTAAGAGCTCCTTTTGTCACCTTCAGTGCTGAATGTAGGCCCTTGTGTATAACACTCAAATATGAGGGGCAACCCCCCAAACACTGGAATTATCTTCTGGAGGGCAGGCCCCTTGCAGCACAGGCTTCCTCCGCTAGGTGAGTGTTCTAGGAACCCATCTCTATCAGTGTACCAGCTGGCGTGGTTGTAGGACGCTGTGTTCGGCTTCAGCAAAATAAAATTTTTTGAAGACTCTTTCAACCCATTTGCCCATTTCATGATGGGTGATTTATGAGGCACCTGCCACACTGCACTGAGCATTCAGCATTTTTTGACCAAAAATGGCATGACCCCCGTGCCCTACCCCCCTATTCACCTGATCTCACCTTGAGCCACTTCTTTCTTGTTTCCCCAGATGAAAAAAGTCCTCAAAGGGAAACGTTTTGCCAATGTGAAATAAGTGGAACAGAAAGTGGCAGAAGCATTAAAAGGTATCAAAATCGACGAATTCAAAAACTTTTGAGCAGTGGAAAAAATGTCTCAATAGGTGTATTACATCAAATGGAGAGTACTTTGAAGGAGACTGAAGTTGAAACATGTAAGAATAAATGTACAATGTTTTATCAATAAATTATGGGGGGGTTGGGCCCCTTCCTTGTACATATTGATTACTTGATTTTCAAGAATACAGGATGAAAACAGTGACTTTCCATTGGAGAAACTTGACTGATACCATCCTATCCGGATGATCAAGGTTCACATCACTAGTTCTATCAGACTGACGTCATGTACTCACTGAGATGATGCAATAAGAAGGGGATTTGACCTCTGTGTTCTTCTTCCCCAAAACTCATAAACCCAATCTCATCATGGGAAAAAAAACAGACAGACCCAAATTGAGGGACATTCTACAGAATACCTGACAAGTACTCCTCAAAACTGTCAAGGTAACAAACAAACAAACAAACAAACAAACAAACAAAACCTGTCACAGGCCTGAAGAGACTAAGGAGACATGATGATTAAAAGCAGTGCAGGACCCTCAGTGGAACCCTGGGACAGAAAAAGGACAGTGATCTGGTGAAATCTGAATAACGTCTGAACTTCAGTTAGCGATACTGTACCAGTGCTGACTTTTTTGTTTTGAAGTATGCCCAGGGATTATGTAAGATGGTACTAGGGGCATCGGGTGATGGAATACAGGAAGTCTGTATCATATTTGCAAGCTTCCTGTAGATGCAAAATTATTCCAAAATAAAAATGTGTTTTTTAAACAGGAAGTTGCATTTCTATACACCAGAAATGTCTTGGAAATTTTAATTTTAAGAAGATACAATTTACAATAGCTGTAACCACCAAACAATAAACACCAGCACTTTCCTCACAGCGCTTAGTTATCTATTAGTTTTTACAAAGAAGAACGTGAATAAGCATGGACAAAAATGACTGGACACAAATCCCTGATCATGTGACAGGAAAATCTGCTATCTTCTGTTTTGGCAGGATTGAAAAAAAAAAAACAGTGGGACCCATTCCAGCAGAAACAACAGTTCCACAGATATTCACGGGGAGCCTGCTATGGGCCAGGTACTGTAGATTGTATACACTTTAGAAATAAATTCATTCTTTACTTTATAAGCCATTGGATTTAATTTCCACATTATGCATTCTCCTTGAGGTGGAGTAGACTGCTGTTCACCCAAATCACTTAAGCTTTATTATTTCCCTCTTTTCACTGTTTAAACATATCTATATTATTTTCTTTATGTTCACTAACAAAATGGATCTCACATTTTTGTGGCATTTACAGCTTGCAAAGCACACATCTTTTATCTAACAGAATTGTCCTGTGCATTACAGAAAAGTTTGGCCCTGGCTGGTGTAGCTCAGTGGATTGAGCACGAGCCTGTGAAGCAAAGGGCTGCCAATTGGATTCCCAGTCAGGGTATATGCCTGTGTTGCAGGCCAGGTCGCCAGTAGGGGACACATGAGAGGCAACCACACATTGATGTTTCTCTCCCACTCTTTCTCCTTCCCT